CTCTCTCTCTCTCTCTGTGTGTGTGTGTGTGTGTGTGTGTGTGTCTATCTATCCGCTCCTGCATGGCCACGTCACGGGCATGATGAATCGGTGGCCGAGGGTGGTTTTGTGGAGGTATTGATTTAACTTCCTAAAATTTCGAATTCCTCGGAATCTGTTTCCCAGTTGAAAGAGTGATTAATGTAATTTAGATTACGGAATGAAGCGCTGTAGCAAAGGCTATACGTTATGTCAGGTGTTTGGTAAAAGTCAACTTGAGTCCTCAATTCGGGACTTACTTGGCATAGTGCTTTGTCCTGTAATCTAAATAACATTAATCCGGGTTCTCTAGTTTCTTTTGACTACATGTGAGTCGTCGAAATGTTTTGCGTAGAAGACGATTGCTTTTAGGTGCGGGGATCCCTATAAGCTACTGTTTTGATCTAGTGGTCAAGTCGAAATTCTATAAAGAACCGGCGCCTGTAGTGTTAGTTAAGCTCTTCTGCGCCATTTTACGCAGAAGACGTGAGTTCGCTTCCTGTTACTGAAGGGTCCAGCTTGTGTCGCCGGTTTGTTTTGTTTTGTTTTTGTTTGTTTGTGTTTTTTCGTGTTTTTTTTCGGGGGGGGTGGGGGCGGGGGTGAGACTGCATAAAAATATTTACAATAAATATACAAAGAATGCATGAGAAGGTTGTTGAAGCTTTTTCGGTCGCTGTGTGCTTGAAAACGTCAATGTGTTATATAAATCATACTTATTGTATGATAGACTCCAGTCGGTAAGGACGTCATAATAATATTATATTTCTTCAAGGAAGCTATTACGACACTGTTTGGATATCATTAGTCAGCCACCCGGACTGTTGTTTACCTGCTACCTTTGATTAGCGCTAATGAGACGGAGGAGAATCCGGGAGTTTGGGGGAGGGGGGGGGGATACTGAAGAGTCTTGATGGGAGACGCTGTGACTGGAATGTGCGGATTTTAGCCAACGCGCTACCTCAAAAGTACAAAGTTCTGTCCGACATTTGTGGCTCTTTTGAGTTAATAAGACCGTGGAGCCAGAAACTAAATGTTCTATCAACTTTATCAAAATCGAAAGATTATTCAGAGTAGCTATCGAAATATTTTAAGAATTGCATTCGAAAAAGCTTGTTTGAAACTCAAAATTATTTTTATTTCATCATTTTTTTCAAAACTAGATTAGTACTGAGCAGACAGAACTTTGTAATTCTAGGGTAGCGAATGGATGCCCTCTTGGTGATGTTTTGACAATGACAATGACAATGACAATCTTTATTCATCTCGCAGGGAGAAATTTGTCTTGGTCGTTAACAATGGCAGTAGACGT